AAAAAAAACATATTAAAATTTATTTATAGGGAAACAAAACTTCACAATGGTCACCACGTTATTCCGAAATTCTTGGTTCATTTGGTGAACCACCAACATATGTTGTACATTTTTGTGATTCACATTTAACATTCTTACAAAGTTTTCAAGTATGTTCATTATTTGGTCGAATTCGTATTCATGGATATAATCTTCGTCCATTAATATATTATTCAGTTTATAATTATCGTACAAATAGTCCACTTTCAATTGAATTTATTTCACAAATAAAATATCCATCTCAACAAGATATAAATTTGTTCATTCCCGATATGCAAATATCGGAAAATATTATCTTTAAAGTTAATGAAAAAGGTGGCGATGTGTTATTAATACGAAAAGAACCAAAGAATGATTCATTATTTATAAAAATTATTCGTGAACATCGAATGTATAGTAATTGGTTTCTGGAAAAATATTTATGTTTTCAAGGAGGTAGATGGACACACTTAGATCATGATCTTCATATTCGTTTAATTGAAACAACATATGAAACAACTGTTAATCCTAGTGAAGAATTGATTGCAAAAACTAATCATGTTATTAGACGATGGATAAATGAAACAACAGAAGGTAAAGATTTCTTATTAATTTTTCGAATTTAAAAAAAATATTTATTTAGATCTTCCATTTGTTGTTTTAATTTGTGGTGAAAAAGATTTAGGCAAATCGACATTTACTCGTTATCTTATTAATCGTGCTCTTAATCATGTTAATCCAGTTTATAATGTATCCTATTTCGATTGTGATATTGGTCAATGTGAATTTACTATAGGTGGATGTGTATCATATAGTAATCTTAATTCACCATTATTCGGTCCACCTTGTTCTCATATACAATCAAATACAAAACCGAATCGTCTTCTTTACTATGGTCTTGTTTCACCACAAACATCACCTGTTTATTATTTACAATGTATTGATAAATTAAGACAATTATGGAATATTGATCATAAGAAAAATCCTAATCGATCGATGGTCGTCATCAATACAATGGGCTGGGGAACTGGTAAACACAAAACAGAGTGGTATGAGATATTACTCTGGCAATGAACGAAA